GGGCGCATGCCGCCACCCCTCCAGCGCCTGGCCTTTTCAGGTAGCTCACGGACACTTCCCGAGGGAGTTATAGGGACACACCTGACCGCAGAATAAAGCACCTGGGGGGGGGGCGGGGCGCTCCCCAGTCCTCTGTGGCAGAAGTTCAGAGCAAACAGCTGGGGACTGTAACCTCTTCAGCCACTACAGCTTAACCCAAGAGGAATTTTAGTCCTTAACGTGCCTCTGTTCCTACGGCAAGACCTCACACTTGCAAGGGCAGACTTTGAAACCTACAGCTAAAATTTAACAGCCTCATTGAGCCTCATTTTCTTTCAAGTATGTATTAGCAGCAGATAGATACAGACACCATCGTTTCACGTCCCAGTAAAACAAGCAGAAAAAGGTAATTGTAAAGTGCCTTATTGCCAAGGCTCCTGGGTTTCTGTTTAGTTTAATACTAACTGGGTTTGTGAAGATCATGAAGGCATGGGGGGAGGCAATCACAGGAGATCCCTGTGGGATGAGATCTGTTGCACAAAACATCCACGTGACAGAATATTCTTCATGAAAGCTGGAAAACTACTACTTACCTTCCTGCTGTCGCATTCCCGCCAGTCTGTATTTGTACAAAAACCTGAGAGGAATTCCTGTAGCACTGAAGATCTAAGACACACATGTCTGTCTTTACTATTAAAACATCTATACTATCTACAATCTCTTTCTTTAATAAGATTAAGTAGCATTATATTCCTAACAGTTTATTCAAAGTTAATCAGAATATCACGAGACTCACAAGTTAGTTCACTGGAAAGTATGCAAATGGTAAACTCACCGTGACATGTCTCTTCTTGGAAAGAAGCCTAGAAAAATAATTTCTCATTAAGAAAACCTCCCAGAACAGCTCTTCAGTTTTGGTCAATAACAATACAGATCACACTATAAAAAGAACAAAGTTAAATAAGAATATGCTATGACTTTTACAAAATTAGGAAGACTAACTTTTGCACAGAAGGATAAAATGTACTTTGAAAATATACATGAGGACTAGAAAACGTATCATAGGCTAGTAATCTTAAGTGTGGATTTCTGTCTGTAGTGCATATTGAAGCAACAGGACTTAATAAATGCATTAAACATACCTGTATACAAAGACAGTCAGGTAGCTACCTTGAAACCATCCAGGAATACAGACAGATCAGAAGATACCTTGTGAACTTGCCTCTTCGGAAAGCTTTCAGAATTCTAGGTCTGCAAAGTTCTATGCAAGAAAAGCTTCAAAAACTTACTTAAACGTGGATGTCATAAAACACAGGTAAATTTCTTAGAGCTAACTGAACATAAGCATAAACATTCTTAAGGATTTTAAAAAGGCTTCAGCCCCTAACAAAGAAGCCTGGCTGTCTGAAACTTAAGTGCAGCATACAGTAAAGAGGAAAAAGATTGCCTAAATTTACTCACTGCCCTGGCACGTGAATGCCTTTTCTGGAAGCCATCTGGAGGAAACCTGTCCTACCATTACAAGAATTGTATCAGTTGGTCTGCTAAAAACATATCGCCGCTTTGCCCCCAAATTGAAGAGACTATCAGCCTAAGAGCAGCTTGCCTTAGGAAAAAAAAAAAAAAATCACCTTGTCCTACCTCCTTTGCCCCATCTGCAGAAATAGCAGCTTCTAGACAACGCGAAACTCTGATGAGACAGAGATCACCGTAACAGAATTTCAATGAACCAGCCATGCGACTCTGTCCAAGAAAGGATCAGCTTTCATTATACTAAGCAGTTGCACAATAGTAATCAAACATTTAATGTGACAAATTCTTCATTAAAGAGAATTTATAAGAGGTAAATGAATCACACTGGTTAGCTCCAGTTAAATGGGTAAGAGAAGAGATTGAAGCATCACCTTTCTATTTCTACCTCCCAGAAACTTTAACGGAATCCTAACTAGGAGTTTCTCCTAGTCCAAGAAAGCTTTCTGGCTTTTCCTACCAAGGAAGCAAAATACTGTTTTTACTTAAGGTGCCTTTGTGCATGTCTGTGTCTTCCACTAGTTCCTATCTTTACTACAGGTGACACCTGTGGGTGAAGCTTTTTTCTACCGGAGTACAATTATCAGGAGTACAATTATCATCCTCAGGTAAACTCAGGTAGTGTGGGTTAGATGAGTGGACAGTGAGGTGGATCGAGAACTGGCTGGATGGCAGAGCTCAGAGGGTTGTGGTCAGTGGCACAGAGTCTAGTTGGAGGCCTGTAGCTAGCGGTGTCCGCCAGGGGTCAATACTGGGTCCAGTATTGTTCAATGTATTCATCAGTGACTTGGATGAAGGCACAGAGTGCCTCCTCAGCAAGTTTGCTGATGATCCAAAACTGGAAGGAGTGGCTGATACACCCGAGAGCTGTGCTGCCATTCAGAGGGACCTGGACAGAGAGGAACCACGTGAAATTCAACAAAGGCAAGCGCAGGGTCCTGCACCTAGGGAAGGATAACCCCATGCACCAGTACAGGCTGGGGGTTGACCTGCTGGAAAGCAGCTCAGCAGAGAAGGACCTGGGAGTGCTGGTGGACACCAAGTTAAGCACGAGCCAGCAACATGCCCTTGTGGCCAAGGCCAATGGGATCCTGGGGTGCATTAGGCAGAGTGTTGCCAGCAGGTGGAGGGAGGTGATTCTCCCCCTCTCCTCAGCCCTGGTGAGGTACCTGGAGTACTGTGTCCAGTTCTGGGCTCCCCAGTACAAGAGAGACATGGCACGCCCGGAGAGAGTCCAGCGGAGGGCTACAAAGATGATGAGGGGACTGGAGCATCTCTCCTCTGAAGAAAGGCTGAGGGAGCTGGGCCTGTTGAGCCCGGAGAAGAGAAGACTGAGGGGGAGAATCTGATCAATGTGTATAGGTGTCTGAAGGGAGGGTATCAAGAAGATGGGCCCAGACTCTTCTCCGTGGTGCCCAGCGATAGGATGAGAGGCAACAAGCATAAACTGAGACACAAGAAGTTCTGCCTGAACCTGAGGAAAAACTTCTTTCCTGTGAGGGTGACAGAGCACTGGCACAGGTTGCCCAGAGAGGCTGTGGAGTCTCCTTCCCTGGAGATACTCAAAAGCCGCCTGGATGTGATGCTGGGCAATGTGCTCTAGAGGACCCTGCTGGAGCAGGGAGGTTGGACTAGATGATCTCCAGGGGTCCCTTCCAACCTCAACCATTCTGTGATTCTGTGAGTGCAATTATCTTTTTTCAGTACAATATATTGTTCTTAATGTTCTCTTTCTCTCCCTTGAGTATTCAACTCAAAGCTTTTCCTTTTAACCTCTTCATCTGGGAGCCTTTCAAGCACAGCCTGCCAAATGACTGAAAAACATCAAGGACAGTTCAGTTCTGGTGAGCCTCATGGGTTACTTGAATAAATGGTACACTGGAATACCATCTTGAAAGAAGTCATGTCACTAGATAAACAGCATTTGGGAAAAAGTAACAACTGAAATAATTAGGGGTAATAAGCCAACTGAACATGAACTCACAATGTGATAGAGTGTCTAAAATACGTCGTGTAAGTCCTGGGTGAATAAGCAAAGAAGCTCTGAGCAGAAGTATGACAGTAATATGCAATTGTAATGCCACCTGCACTGGTAACCTATACTGCAGTACAGGGTTTTGGGGGTCCAAGCTTAGATTTAAAAAAAGATAGTGAAAAACAGAAACCTTTCATTATTTAACTGTGGAAAGCCTGCCTCAAGCTGAACTTCTTTATGGTCTTGTTTATACTGTTTATGCAAAAGAACATTCTTTTGAACGTTCTTTATAATGCCTACAGAGAGACATAGCAAGGAAGAGAGCTTTTAATATAGCAGCAAAAAATCTACAAGAAGATACAGCGTCTGGAAACCAAAGCTAGACAGCTCCAGGTTTAGAATAGTGGAAGCAATGAATCCTTTCAGGTGCAGTTCTCCAACACAGAATGACTTTCTTCACCCTCCCTACTGGTACATGGTCACCTCTGTGAGCACTCTGGAGACATATGCCATGCCAGCAACAAACTACAGAGGTGGAAGGGATGCTAAACAGCAAGAGATTTAAATATAATCCAATCAAAGGAGACAACCTTGAGTACACTCAAGGGTCTGAGAAAAATCACTTTTTGCCATCTACTAATAATAGCACTACTGAACAAGTTATAAAGCTCAGAGAGAATACAAATTTGCAACACAGTGACAAAAATTTGGCCTTTTTTTCCAGGGTACCTTCTATACAGGCTAATTGCACACAAGAATTTGCTTTGGCATAAATTAAGAGCATCATATACGGATATGGATAATTCAGTGTAATTCAGCAAGTAAGTCTCCTTCTAAGTCTCTGTAAAGATTATTTAAGCTTTACTGTATTTTAATTGTTCTCTGGTCACAATGAACCAGAATCAGGATTTGCTTACTAGTAGAGAGAATTCCCATTTTATTTTGAAAGGCTAACTTACAGAAAAGAACACTAAGAGATGGTGATACAGAAAAGCAATCTTCGAAGCATTTTCCAGCTCACTCAAAACATTCAAATGCAACAGTATGGCATAAACATCTACTTAAATTACAATTAGTAGAGTAACAATTTCCCATCCCGCCTTTCTTATTTTAGAACTCTGAATTTATGTAAAACGTTTGTTGCACAATTACCTCAGGTTGAAGAATTAGGGGCAATATATCTGTATCTACATTCCTCCTTGTTAAAGTTCAGTGGAGTTCCCTTATGTTCTAGACAGCCTCTAGAACGCCTGCTGATCTAAGCAGAGGCACGCTGGTCTGATGTCACTGACTGCCCAATGGCCTTAAAAGCCAGCTAAATGTAAATTTACTTCTCATCATTAGCTTTAATAATACTTTTTTTTGTGATTGCATATTTTTTTCATGCAAGTGATTGCTACCACTGTTAATGAGAATACCTTGTAATTGTGAGTGGAAAGAGAATTTGAGTGTCTCGTAGACTGCCCTCATTTCACTCCATTGATAGGTTGTATTAACATCCTTGCAACACCATGTATAGCTTTACCAATAAAACACTTTCCCCCATTCAAATTTCAAACAGTTACAGAGCAATTTTTAAACAAGTGTGATCAATTGTTATAGAAAGAATCAGATTGTTGTAAATTGAAAAGCAATTCAATATAAGATTTGGGGAATTTTATTTAAGAATAAAGCATAACTAGAATATGAAACAAGCATCCAAAGTCAGCGACAGGAGAAACTAAAGTGCTTGCTTTAGAGTAAATCAGAAACATTTTTAAAGGTGTATGAATACAGAGAGTACATTTTTTTTTCCCTTTTTTTAAAATGAGAAACAAGAACATTTGATGTCTTAAGAACACATGTTCAATCTTGTTCATTCTACAGTTGATCTCAACATGACACATGTAACTCACTTTCTAAACCAGAAGACTATAATTATGCTGGAAGAACAAAGGCTGAGGTAATTGCTGACTAGAAAACTTTGTTACAGAGTCACTTGACACCCCAGAAGTTTTCCCTATCCTTGGTATCATCTTGTTCAGGAGGCCACCAATTAAAGGCAAATTCGAGGAACAAGGGAACAAAACGCATGTCCACGTTTCTTTTAATTTTACTCAGAAATATAAAAGTGCAAGTTCTGTAAATTAACAACATTTACAGTACATCACAATAAATATGCCACATTGTGACGTCTAAAAATTCTAGTTATTTGAAATGAGTCATATTGAGATAAAAACTTCATCAACATCAACAAAAATACCTGACCCAGTAAAGATAGTCTTAATATATTAACTAGCAAGATGCATATTCCATTATTGCTATTAGACCATGCCTCCGAGTTCCAAAGTATTGAAAAAAACAAACAAACAAAAAAAAAAACAACTTATAAGTTTATGCAAAACACAGCTGAAATTTTCCTCATCACAGGCACAATCTAACATAAAAAATAATTAACATTTACGAATTAGGAGACTCTCCTATGAGGGGAAAAGATACAGAACAGATAGTTCCATTTCAGCGATGATTCTCTAAACCCACAGAAAAGCTGCAACTTGCACAGAGCTGAACTGTTGTATGAATACATAGTGTCTTTCCACACCCACTCCAGGCCTGATGAGAGCAGGCCATTTTGTAGATTTACTACAGCTTGCTAACTACCTCCAAGTATGTAGACCCTAGACATCCCAACATGAATTGCATGCAGGTGCTTCGTGTCCTGAATAGCCTAGTCTCACATTACATTTAAGCAGTGTATTTAAACAATTTTGTCAGTAACTGTTCCTAGCTATTTATCCAGACTGGACTATGTCTCTGACTGCGGAATACAAAAGTCAGATAGGACAAAATAAGATTTCACGTCCATTTCTAAAATTATGATCAGAATTCTAAGTAGTCACTATATATATACAGTATATTGTTTCCTATTCAGTACCTCATTTGGATGGGCCACTTCAAATAAGATTGAAGACTCATTTGTGACTCAGCATCACTGATAAAGTTGAATGACAAATCGGTTTACTACCAGTAACATACCTAGATCAAAAATTTTTTTTTTTTTTTTTTTTTTTTTTAAAAGAGTTAGTCGCTCCACTCCTTCACGGACTGCAAAAGAAGTGTTTAACTGCTCTAGGAATGCCTTTCATAGCAGGAATTGTGTTTTTCTAGAGGGAAATAAAAGTCTCAATCTTTTCATTTGGCCTACCAAACAGGATATTACTTTCCTCCTCCATATCAGTCTTGCTTTAGATGTAATCTCAAAAGCAAATCAATGAAGGTTAGGTATGGGTAAGGTCTAAAACTTTGGCAACATATTCTGCAAAAAGGTAAGAAAAGAAAAACAGTTTAAGCTAAGGAACTGTTTAAGGCAACCTGACCAAAGTAAAGATAAGGCTTCTCGATAACTATTTCCAAGGAAATCCAGTTTTCTTAGCTTTGCAAAGTAACGTAAGTCAACTAACTTTCTGGCCAGATTTCCATTCATAAGTTTTTTTAAAAAAATACTTACTTTCCTAGAATACTAACTGAATGTACAAGGTAAGGAGACTCCTGTTACAGACAAAAGTAAACAAAATTACATGAGCACACATATGGCCAAGTATTAAACATTATATGGTCATGATAAAGATTTAAGCTGTCTGAGGTATTTCAGTATCTTAACACCACAGGTTTGGAATGTCATTTAGAGATTAAGTTATTGTACTATTGGTATGACTACTGAAACAAGCAAACCAAAAGCCTATTTAACACCTTCAAAGGTCACTGCCACAAAGATTCAGCAGCCTGAATAGGAAGTTAGTTAAATTTTAAATATCTGGCCATGTAATTTAATGCACTATTCAGAATATTAAGAGCAGAAACAAGAACTGCCCACACAGTAATTGCATGTCAAACAAAATAAGTATTTGGCTGGAATGTACCGGAAGCAGAGATCCTAAATAATGACATAATTTATATCACAAATATGGGTTGGGTGGGGAGGGGAAGATGAAGAACGGAAGGAATATGAGGTTTGAAATTCACACATCTTTGTGAAGTCACCAAAATAACCTCCTAAAATTTAGTAAGATCTGCTTTGTGTAGCTGAACAGTCTTCCTCCTCTTCCTTCCTTCCTCCTGCCGTACTGGCTAATTCTCAAAGAAAAAGCGTTCTGCCCATTTCCAGTGTCAACATTTACACCAACAACTTATATTGCATTATTCTAATCAAACAGAAGATTGTTCCCCTTAGAGAGCATATTTTATATGTATTTTAAAAGTAAAAAAAAAAAAAAAATTCCTGCCAATATTGAAGTAAATCACATGTGTGCTTATTTAGGCTCACCTGCAGAGTTACAAGTAATTGTGTTCAGCTTTGTTTAAACAAAATAATAGCTGAAGAGTTAAAAACACAAGGTCACTTAACCCTCATCCTGGTTGGTTTATTTTTAAATTAAAATTATAATATTTTACTAAGCCATAACAACTCTGAACATACTAGCAAAGTGTCTCTGGCACAAATGGTTTTCAGAAGAAAAGCTGGTCTTCCCAACAGCTTAATCCTCTGCTTTATCTTAAAGTGCAGAAACTGTGGGAAAGGATAACAAGACTTCCTGTCCATCACTGTGGAACAACTTCCCTTAGAGAAGCTAAGGCTGCATGTATGCGGACGTGCAATCTGTTCTCAAAATCATAGCCAGTAAATTCTTCCTGAAATACAAAAAAAAAAGTATACAACTATTAGCCTCCTTCATCTCAGTAATTTTACTAGTGAAGTAATGAATCTACAAAACAGATAGAAAAATGAACTGGAGATTGCATATTGCTGTTAATGTCCCTGCATTACCCAAAGCAACCGAATTTTCTAAAAATTTTTTTGCTGTCTTCACTAACTAGGAGTTTCTCTATTTCAAGCACGCTGTTCAGATCCCATCTAGATGAACAATATCTGGAAAGCTATGCAAGTCCAAAAGTTCTAGAAAATTCCAACCTGCCCAAGGCAAGGACCAGTGGCAACATATATAAAGTGGAGAACTGCAGTTGGCAACCAAGTCCTAGTTGAAAGACTTGGCAAGGGTCTAACACCTCAGCAGAGGTTATTAGTATGGCCTCACCTACAAAACGCATGCACAACGCTGTCACCAAGTCCCGACTCAATACGTGGTAAGTAGTGTTACACATTACGTATGATGGACAACAAAGCTATTAAAAGCAGAGATGAACAACTCTTGAAATGCCTTTCTCTCCAAAAGATAAAGTTGGAAGTGTCTTAGCATTTACCTTAGCTTGGAGAAGTAAGGTTTTGCCTCTTGGCACAGTCTACAAAGAGAGACAAACACCGCATTAAAAACACGTTACGAATGTGACAGAAAATATCTTAAGTACACGGCCTGGTCAGTCTGAAGTAACACCTCTATCTTGAAAACCAGGCATTGAGTACACTAAAATCTCTCACATTAGAAGGCCAGAAATACTAATGAGACACCCAAGAAGCGCAGCATTACATATTTCTAAGACTTCTACAGAAAAGGAGAATTTATAGCTTGACGTGGAAGTTGCTAGTGACAACGGTGAGCTACAACAACGCACAGAAAAACAAACGAGGTTACAGGTAAATGACTTTGATCAAGAGAATGAGTTTTGTTTCTTAACTACAGTTTAAGACTTTACAAAACCTGCAAAACAAGCTATTTCTTAAGCATTAAAAGTTATTTCAGAAGTCTCAGCTTCAAACTCTTAAGCTATATGTATTTGCAGATTAATATTTATTACTGAAAAGGTCGCATTTTATTTCTTATTAAATAGTACCTTCTTTTTATTATTTTATGTCTTACAAACAGTTTCTTCAACTACCTGATTAAAAAAAAGTTTTCTTTTTCAATTATATCTGAATAGGAACTGATGTATTTCTATTAGTTACATTACATTCGCAGCGTATCTACAAAAAAGTATGCATCAGGTAAACTTATTCTTGACATAACCATATTAAAATCTTAAAGAAGCTCATGAGAACCAAGTTAAAAATAATAAAGATATCAGCTGATATGTTAGATCAAACATGTAATTATGAGTCACTTTAAAGTACTGTAAATTTAATAAAAGTGTGCTTTTTATGCTAACATACACATTCACATCTATATCTTTTGCTCAGCGCCTTTAATATGCTCAGGCCGTTTGATAAGGGCAATTTATAAAATCCTATATCTTTTTTTTTTTTTTTATCACTATACAGTTCCCAAATATGACTTGCATGATATCTCAGCTAGTAAACTGAATCATCTACAACACAAACAAACAAAAACCCCCAAAACACCACACCATCCAAGTACCTCTAAACCTAGCTCTTGTTTTTCTCACCTCACCCCAATTTGAGTCAAGCAGCTTCTACTTCCTCAGCACCCAAGTGCCACGAGAGAGAGCGTTCCCTACTTCTAGTTCACATACTAAGTGCTACCATAGTTTCTCAAGAGCAGCTACAAGCAAAGGTTCATTCAGCCCCTGAATACCCAACATGAAGTGTGTTTGGTTACTGTGTGGATATACTACACATAAAGCAAGAGAGAGGGAAGGTTTGTTCTCAAGTTATGAGTATCTTCCGATTTCACTACCAACCTCCACTCTTCTATTTAGCAACAGTCCCAACTACTGTAAATAGAATAGTTTTTAGAGACACTTAACATAATCAAATTCAAACATGAACATTATCAAAAAAAAAAAAAAAGGCAGCAGGAGCATCACTGGCCTCAGACCTTCCTACCAGGTTTCAAGGCCTTGCCCTAAGTCACACAGCATCAAGGCTTTCAAAAAAGAACCATTATTTTTAAAAGCATTTTCTCTAGCTTTGTCCTGTGTCATGATGGCCATTTCTACTGAAATAGTTTCCTTTCCTTCCCATTTAAAGGGAAAAGGTTCAGCTCAGATTATCAGCTTTGACAAGATTAAAACAACTGAAAACAGAGTCTTAAGAAGAGGAGAATCTGTCAGCTCAACTACTTTATCAGCTACATACAGTGGTGGTGGCAGTGGGGAAGGGTTTTAAAAAAAAAAAAAAAAAAGTGTCATAACCGCTTCCCTAAATTCACAATTTGATTCAGGAAGCACTATGTAAAACAGCATGAATTCCAAGTAGTAGCCTTACATATTTGAGAAGGGGGGGGAAGAAAAAAAAAAAAAA